TGCGAACCACCTACTTCGATCTCAAATTTACCGCCACAAATAAAGACAGTTTCCATTGGAGAAAGGAAATACAAATCTCAAAAATTCTTGTATTGTGATGAAGACATAAAACAATTTTGAGGAATGTGGCCGCTGTTCACTGCTTTGGAGTAGCTGTAGCTCAAGCCGACTTGACGCTAAGAGTTCTATGTCACACGACGGTTGGTTGACAAATGGTCCAGTGGGACCTAAGGCTCCTTTTATAGCGCGTCTTCATGTTTGACATGTAACTTCTCCCAAAAAACATCTATACATTTTCTAGAAAACAGGTAGTGAGAATACTCAAACTTATTAGGTAAAAGTTGTTACCTTGATTGAACACAAAATTCTTGTAACCTATTTACGAGGAAATGTGTAGCATTCTCCCCTCTATAGAGGGGAGAATGAACAATCTGATTTTGGGGGTTAAACGGTGAAGTAAGCTCCTTGTGTGGGTTTAGAGGTCGTGATTAGAGACTTGGCAGGTTAGAGTGTTGTGTTCTCGGGCAAAACAGTTCAGTCTCCCCAATTGTCTCTCTCCATACAGAAGCTCGAGTGGGTAACAAGCAAATTGTCAGGGAGGCCTGATAAATACTGGGGGTAACCTTGGGATGGACTAGCATCCTATGTAGGGAGTAGTAAATTAACATACTCTTAGTCACCTCATGCTAAGGAAACTGGGGTAATGTCTAGCTGGGTGGGCCACTGTTGGCCACTCAGCTGAAGTACAGAATGAATCTTACCTTTTTCCTTTAGTGCATGTAAGCCTCCTCCCTAAGAAACCTCATAGGGAAATTGAAGCTGCAAATGAGGTTTCTTAGGGAGGAGGGCTTACAAAAGTCACCAATTTTGGCAGCTCTGCAGCTGTAGTGGTCTTATTGCAAGCTGTAGTGTTTCTTAACCTTGTGATTATGGTAACAAAAGAGAGAGGAACTCTTGCATAGACTTCAATTGACACTCTGGTTTTTTTTTTGTAAATTTCCCTCTACCTTCCCCCTTTCCCTTGTTGCCCAAGTGTGAATTAAGCTGCAGTAAATCAGGTGAACCTCTGCTAATCATTGCCATCAATTAATCTTTATTTCAAAAATGAATCTTTTCCTCTCACAAACCAGAAAGTTTCTGGTTTGTGAGGACTGAATAATTGTTTCTCTATATCGGTGACACTTACTGTATGGGTCATTTAGATGTGTTGCAGTGTATCTTTAAATTCTGTGGCAGTACGATCATAGGGCATGAACCTTAAGAGACTTTGCCAATTAATTGCAGTATTCCTATCAAGAAACAAAGATCGAGACACTCAAAGAACATTTTGAGGATCTTGATCCTCAGTGTTGAAAAAAGTATCCAATTATTGCACACAAAACAATATTATTTAGCAAAAGCATTAGATAACTTATTAACTCTATATTAATTGCTGTACAGGTATATTAATGTCTGGAGTGGAGAAAAGTAGAAATACAAAAAATAAAGTAAAAGAGTTGGCCTCATTTTCTCCTAACAGGTGCATGGACGGTGTGACTGCGCTCACAACACAGAGGGGAAGAATTGTGAACGATGCAAAGTTGGTTACAATGACACACCATGGCGGCCTGCTAGTGCGGATGATTCATTTGAATGCAAGAGTAAGTACGTTCAGCATGAAGTTGCATTCTTGAACATTTAGGAGACACAATGACCTAATATGTAGCAATATTTGAATTCTTTTGTGGTGCATGTGCATATACCCTCTCTCCATGTAACCTTGTTCTTATAAAGGTGCATTGATTTGTATTACAGAATGTGACTGCAATGGCCATGCTGAAGAATGCCGATTTGATGCAGCGGCATATGCTGCTTCTAATTTTACTAGTGGTGGTGTCTGTGTCAACTGTCTGCATAACACTGTTGGTCGCAAATGCGAGAAGTGTAAGCCGCTGCATTTTCAGGATCCATCCAAAGACTTTAGAGATCCAGCTGCTTGTATCCGTAAGTCCAGTCCAATTATTTTCAATAGTGTTCTATACAGAAGATAAAAATCTAGAATATGGTTCAATTTCTCTGGTAATTTTTTTCTGTTGTTTTGTACCTTCAAGATTTACATTAACAGATTTGGTACTAGTATAGATTTGCCTTCTCCTTCTCCTTCTCGTTTCACCCTTTACTCTGTAAGATTATTATGCATATTCTCAATACTGTTCTTTATACATTTGCTAAGGTGTCAACAAGGAGAATTTGTTCAACAATCAAATGCTTTTTTCGTTGGTGATCATTTCCTCTTTTCTCATGACCTTAATGTGTGATTAGGGGGGTGATATTAAAGGGAGAAGTTAGATATTAGTCACTATTAGGGTGTAAAGGGTAATTGAGAAAAAAATTAATACTTCAAAACATGCAGTTGGTTGTTTGGGGCACCTAGGATATCAGTAGTAGTAAGTAGTAAAGTCTGTTTACGAGCCAGTGGCCCATCAGGCCGGCGCTTAACTCCGGTTTCTGTAGCATGAAGTGACTAGGAGTATTTCTACTTCCCCCTGGATGGGATGCTAGTCCATCGCAGGGTTACGGACCCCCAGCATTAAATTTGCCGGTACCCAGTTAAACACCTTGGTGAAGAGAGGTACTGTGAGAGTAAAGTGTCTCTCCCAAGAACACGACACAATGTCCCCGGCCGGGGCTCAAACCCAGACCACTCAATCTGGAGTTGAGTGCAGCAACCATGAGGCCACTGCGCCTCCACCCTAGGATATCAGGGTGGAGTATTATGATAGTGCTGCCAGCGATTGCAACTGTAAACTACTTTTTAGAAATAACTGGACTGTAAAACAAAATAACAACAACAGTGACACAAACTGAGACATTTTCCTCCTGCCAGCATGAGATTAATCAAGTAAGATAGTAAGATGAGTGGGAATTTGTTTCAGCAGGGTGGGGTGGGAAGGGCATAATTGGCCACAGATGCCCAAGGCTTGAGACACAGAACTTTATTTTTCTCTCTTTGTAAGAAATGTTTAGTAAATGCACCTGGACTTATTACTTAATCCCTTACAATTGTTGTTATTATTATTAATTTATGTATTGTTATCTTCTGGGTGTGTCTAGCATGTAATTGTGATTCTGTTGGCGGTATCAGTGGGGGAGAGTGTGAAGGGAAAACTGACGAGGAAGCAGGCTTGGTGGGCGGCCGGTGTATTTGTAAAACAAACGTTGAAGGATCCAGATGCAGTCGGTGCAAACCAGGATTTTGGAATTTAAGGAGAGACAATGACAATGGTTGTACAGGTAAAAAAGCTTTATCAGGATTAATACTTTAGTTGTCAGGCACAGTACCGCTCAAAGGTAAGTTGACAGTCTCAACTCGATACTCGATACTCGAAACTATCGAGAATCGAGGCTCGAGGATCGAGAAGAGAGGATCGAGACACTCAAAGGCGCTGGTTTTCAACAAATGGCATGGACATCCATGGAAAAACGCAAAGGGATTCGGTTTATTCCAAACAGGGTTTGAAACCAAGATTTTCTGATAACTGCTTGAAAGTTCTGGTTGTATTTTTTGCAATGCTTTGCCTTCCGCAGATATTTCGATGTTTCGACATGAACCTCCCGCTTTCCTAAAGGGGGAGGGGGTAGGGAGCGGCGGGGGAGGGAGAGGCTTATCAACGTCGCGGGCTTCCAGACATGGATGGGGCTTTGCCTTCCGCAGATATTTCGATGTTTCGACATGAACCTCCCGCTTTCCTAAAGGGGGAGGGGGTAGGGAGCGGCGGGGGGGGAGGGGAGAGGCTTATCAACTTCGCGGGCCTCCAGACATGGATGGAGCTTCTTTGAAGGGGGGAATCGTCAAAGAGCTAGAGGTGTCAGCTTATTAAAAACTCATTGATGAACGCCAAAATGCAAGTCATTACTTTTGTTTTTTTTTTCGACTGTTTCTCAGCTCCAGTTAGTATCGTTTTGGTTAGAAAACTAGCAATGTTCTATCGGGAATTAGCGGGAAAAAAAGGTTTTAAAAAATTAAGGCATACTTTTGTAACGAATTGCTACCAAGAAAAAGTAGATAACATGATTAGAGTTTTCTGGTTAGGAAGGCGGGGACTGGGGATGGAAAAGAGGAGGGCCTGGATACCAAAGAGTTTGAGATTATTGGAGCGCTTGCAGTATTATGCTTTGTAAATATTCTCCATATTTTTATTGTTATTATTTTTTTACGAACTTAGTGGCTAGTATTGCCACCGTAGTAACTTCCTAAATACCTGTTTGTCCATTATACGCTCTGACTCGCCGTTTAGATCTGCTAGGTCCGCCAGCGCTAACTAATCAGAACTAGGATATCTTTGATCATTTAATAGGACAACATCAGACTTGTTATCTGTTGCACATACATTGTACCTTTCAGCTTGTGGCTGCAGTCCGCTTGGTACCATTGGTGTGTGTAACCCCAAGGATGGAAAGTGTTTGTGTAAGCGCTCCGTTATGGGACCAAGATGTGACCGCTGTCAGGTTTGTGTCATCGTTAATGCTAAAAGCGCGCTTCATTTAATCTTTCGTTTGCTTTTCCATTCGTTTCGTCAGCCTTTCTTGCTTTCGCGCCCCCGTCCTTTAAGTGTTTGGTTGTTCGTGTCCACTGTCTTAGTGTCTTCGTGTCTTTGCGTTTTCGTGTCTCTGCGTCTTCGTGTGTTCGTATATTCGTGTATTCGTCCTTTCGTGTCTTCGTGCCTTTGTACCTTTTTCTTTCATTTCTAAGTTCTTTTGTCTTCTCTTTTTGCTACGCTCTCAATTTTCATTTGATTTAACTTGGTACCTTGCATTAGTGTTTAATTCATATTTACCTTTTTCCCATCGTGCAGCCTGGCTATTGGGGACTCAGTAATAGCACTCTTTCGGGATGCCAGCCTTGCGGTTGTAACGTGGGTGGTGCGTACGAGAGGAACTGTGAACAAATCAAGGGCCAGTGTCGCTGCCGTAAAGGCATCACGGGAAGACAGTGCGATAAAGTTCAAACCGGGAATTTCTTCCCGTTACCAGATCATCTGAAATACGAGTCTGAAGAGGCAAAAATTCTTGGGGTACGTACAAAATATTTGGTGCATCACACAAGAGTAGAGCGGCAAGCCTTACCCTACCTCCCTTACTTTTGTCCTCACACCTCCCATGACAATTGATACAATAAAGCTTGAATGGAAGTAAAATATTTCGAATCTCTCGTTTTTGATTATCGGGAAACTGAAAGCAAATGAGTCCCAGGAACCAATCAGAACAGAGGATACTTTCACACGAAGCCAATGAGGACTCGATGTTCTAAGCGCGGGAAAACAGAAGTGACTTAAGTCGTGATTGGTTTAAGAGTTGCATATCATTGGTCGAGATATTGATGTTCTTGTCGACAGGAACGCAAATATCATCATTGAAGAGGGTGTAACAAAGAAAACAAGTAAAGAGCACCGAACTTAAGACGTCGATGTACTTTACGCGGTTCTCTGTTTGTTTGTTTTATTTTCCTCTTCTCCTCAGGGTCAAAACAACGGTAAAGTTGTTCCAAGGGAACCACAAACTGGAGAAGATGTGTCCTGGACAGGCGATGGGTTCACGGAAGTTAAAGACAAAGCGGCTTTGGAATATGCCGTGACAAATGTTCCCTACACGGGTGAATACAACATCTTAGTTCGATATGAACCAAAGGTAAGGCTTTTAATCGAGTTGGATTTTGTTTCTGTTTTTTTTTATGTAAAGAAATTTTCAGCAGTTAGAACCACCTTAGTACCATTGTCGCAAAGCCAAAATCAAAGTATTTTCACTGGCCAATCAGAAGAAAAGAAATACTGAACGAACCAATAAGAGCTCAAAATTAAACACGAGAAGACTACCCAAAGTGCGGGAAAACGAGGGTGACCGAGACGCGATTGTTTTTTTAGTTTTCAATCTGACTGGTTGAGAGAGTGGTGCAAGTTTTCTGGGCCAATTACATCGAAATAAAACAAAAAGGGCAATACTCGGTTTTTATTATATGGCTGTGTCTCACAAGGACTGGGAACTACCGAATTCACGAATTTGATTGGCTGAAATCAATATTGAAAGCGGTTTAGATTTTCCCATCTAGACCGGCATCTAGACAGGTCTAGAAAATAAAAAGGTACAAAGAATATAAAAAATTGGCATATAAGACGCAGCCATATAATAAACATCTTATTAACCGAGCTAGGTCGGTCTGTATGGGAGAATCTTGACCGAGGTCGCTGGTACAGACCTCACTGCGTTCGGTCTGTATTGGCGACCTCGGTCAAGATTCTCCCATACAGACCTCCCACTCGGTTAGTAAGAACTAAGTAAACCATAGAACCACGTTATACATCTCCTTACTTGATTAAGATGTAATAACGCCGCATCTTTTCTCCACAGGATTCTGGACTTTGGAAAGTCAATGTAATGATCCAACGCCTAGACGGGCTCCCTTTGACCAGCGGTAAATGCGTTAACGCGACTCATGCCGAAGAACCTAACTATGGAAATTTCTCAGCAATCCTGCAAACCAGACGTCGTTACGTACTTATGCTCCCCAGTGTCTGTATGGAGAAAGATGTGTCCTACGTTGTTAAGGTCACCTACAGCAGAGACGAGTCCAACAAAGATGGTGTCGATAGTATTTTGACGGACTCGGTAAGTTTGAACTTGATTCCTGGTCCTTGTATGTCAAGTCGAGGACAATTCAATCCTTCGCGTTATTTTGCTATGACCCTGGGGGTTTACCTTTAGAGGCTGCCGATGGTGTGGACCTGAAGTCCCAGTGGCGGATCCAGGGGGAGGATCCGGGGGTCCGGACCCCCCCCCCCCATCAGATCAGACGCGTACAACTTTGAGACTGAAATTCTTACATCAACAGGATCGTATATCAATTTTTAACTGGCTGATTTTTTTTAATGAATCCAAGTAAACGGTAAGCGGCTAAGGCCGCATTATAACGTGCAACCGCGACTGGTGGGAGGGGGTGTGGGGGATGTGGGAGAGAAGTAATATGCCTCAAAAGAGTCCAACAGTCCTCTTTGAACCAAAGTTTGGACCCTCCCAATCAAAAATGCCTGGATCCGCCCATGAGTCCTGTAGTGTGGGGAGGGGGGGGGGGGGGGCTGATTTATTTCCGGGGCAAATGAGAGAGGGGTCTATTAAGGAAAGGGACTTTTTAGAGAACAGGGAGGGGGGTGGGGACCAGTTTAAAAAAAAAGCATCATAGAGAGTCGGTTAAAATGCAATCCATGTTTTATTCTTTCCTCCATGGATTTTTGCCTAGCTCTATTGGATTGTCAAAGAGGCCAGCGGGTAATTGAGGGATAACAGACAGCGAAGGCAGCTTATGAGAGAGAGAGAAGGGGTGTGTGTTACTGAACGACGAGGTTAGGTTGAGACGAGAGAAGAAATGTAGTAGAGAGGACATACATGGACACACATGGCCTCGATCACATGCTGGTTAACAGAGACGGAACAGGTCCTGGGCATTTATGACGACTTGAAGCCAAAGATTGATTCATGATTGAGTAGTCCAGTGGTCAGTACGCCGGACTCTGGGTCGGTTGGCCCGGGTTCAAGTCCTGGCTGGGGCATGACGTTGTGTCCTTAAGCAAGACGCTTCACTCACATTGCTTCGTCTTCTCGGTTGAGACGTAAAGCCGTAGGTCCCGTCTCCTGCAGGGTCAGGGGCAGGAGACGTAAATTTCCCATGCACGAGATTACTGTGTAGTGGATGTCCTCCCCGGGGTGGGATGTGTGGGAAGGTGAGATCGCTACATGGACTGAAGCGGCTGCCAGAGGCGCCTGATAAAAATGCTGACGTCAGATCTCAACCTTACGATACTGTTAAGCGCGACTGAATATATCCACGTAGAGGTCTGCGCTATATAAATGTAAAAACGTAAATGATTCAGAGCGGCTGTAGAGGCCTAATAGCCCATTTCCGAATTACCCTTGGCCTCATTTTCAAAACGAGTGCTGGTGCTTTTCCTTTCATATGATTATAAAGTTTTCATTCACATGCAAATTAAACTCATTTTCACAAGAATGGTTGAGCACCACTCCTCGTTTTGAAAAAGAGGCCAAAAGTAATTCGGAAATTGCCTATTTTAAAGAGTCTCCGTTGATCTAAAGAAATTGAAGCCAACTTCTCAATCAACGAGAAACGAAGCGTAACATAATGTTGTTGTTTTTTGTTTTTTTCCTTTCCCATAGATGGTTCTTGTGCCCTACGTAGAGTCAGTTTCGATCTTTCAAGGACCCGATGGCGAGCAAAGAAAAAAGCTCTTTGATCAATTTAGTTGCTTGGATTTTAACCTGGAACCATCCTCTCCGCGACCTCCACTTCCCGATGTTTGCAAGCAACTTATATTCGCCATGTCATCGGTTATTTATAATGGCGGAAAGCGTAAGTTGTTCCGTTGGTTCTACGATAATGTTATGTAAGCCCTCTTCAAGTGCCCTGGGTATTTGTGGGTGAGTGGGGACGATCTTCGTTTTAATCATTAAGATCCTAGTATCAGTACGCACATTCTCTATACTCTTCTCTATACTTTTCTTAAGGTACTCACCGGGTGAATTTTTTTTACTAATCAAGAGCTTCTTTTGTTGGCGATCAAGTTTCTTTATTCTCGTGACCTTAATGGTTGACTCTGGAGTAAAATGTTAGGGAGAAATTGGAATCTAATCACTTTTAGGGGTGAGGGATTAATCAAATTTTAATTTTTGTTTTTTGGTAAAAGCCTGTTTCCATTGTGTAAAGGCTGATAGTTTCTTAAGAAACTGTTTGGGGCTGCGTCGGTGGGGGTAACGAAATAATTTAAATGTATCAACAAGTTGAAATGATAAATTGGCCACCGTTACGGTTATCAAAGCTGACGTTTCGAGCGTTGGCCCTTCGTCGGAGCGAAACATTCAAATTGTTTCTATTGTGCTTGAGTGAAATCTGCGCTCTTCAAGTTTGCCAAACCACATGCAGAGTTTGGTCAAATTTTAAGGAGATATTGGAATCTAATCACTTTTAGGGGTTGAGATTTTAATTAAATTTTAATTTGTGTTTTTTGGTAAAAGCCTCTTTCTATTGTGCTTGGGTGAAATCTGCGCTCTTTAAGTCTGCCAAACCACATGTACTGCATATCGATATAATCTGACCAAACTAAAATTTAATCAAATTTGCGCTAAATGTGACAACAAGTTTAAATGATCAACGTTGCTAACAGTCCCTCCAGTTTTCACCGATATTTTGGGTCACTTGTTCGTTGGTGATTACTTGCGAAAATGCGAGAAAATCTATGCAGAACAAAAACTACTCTCAGGAGAAGGCTAGGGTGACCCTCATCCCACCCCAGCACAGGACGACAGAGTGCGCCAGTTCAATCCTCTGTTTTTGTCTGTAGCGTGTAACTGTGATCCCACGGGAACCAAGCGAGATGAAAATGGGACGCTGATCTGTGATTCCGTGGGTGGTCAGTGTGAGTGTAAACCAAACGTGATTGGCCAGAGATGCGACCGCTGTGCTCCAGGATCGTTTGGATTTGGACCGCAGGGTTGTGCTGGTGAGTGATACAAGATGGTGAACAGAAGGGGTGAAAGTGGGTAAGAGACGCGGTAGAAACGCGGTAGAAACGCGGTAGAAACGCGGTAGAGACGCGAATCGGCACGTTCTGTAAAAGTAAAGACAGCACATTGCCTCCAGTACCCCTTGGTGTTGTTGTACCTGCATTAGTTTGTTTCACAAGAGGCCGAACGAAATTGAGCAAAACTAAAAAAAAAATGCAAAATTTATAGGAAAACTGTTCATGCAATTTTAGCATAATCTTTGCCAGGGAATCAATGAGAATATAAACTTGAGCGCGAAGAACGCTACTTACCTGGCCACAACAGGGTAAAGGTTGAGTGCAAGATTTCTAGAATAATTCGCGGTCAAAGTGAAGTGAAATTCACTATTTTCAAATCCCCCATCATTCACCTCGTTAACCCAACTCTTCCCTCTTTCCCCCTTCCCCTCCC